TGTATTGTCTCAGAGCCTTAGATTAATGCGAGGACATCTGAAGAACAATTCCAGTGGTGTTATCAGCAGCAGGCAGAGGGGGACAAGGGGCCTCTGAGTACAACAAGGGCCCCTCAACGAACCTCCCCAGGGCAAACTGACAGTGTCCGATATCAGACACTGATTACGTGTGCGTTTGTTTCTTTATTTGGTGGGGAAAAAAATAGGGAGGTGACTTTTGCTTTTCCTTTTTGTACTTTTTCTTTTCTCTCTGCCGTCTCTCTCTCTCCAGAGGTCACCGCGGCGGCTCTAACTTTTTCTGCTGCCTTTTCTACTGTTACATTAAACATGGTCATGTCCTCCTGCCCTACATCCATAAATCTTATCTGGTGTCTTCCTCTCTCCTAGCTGCCTGGCAGCTCCATCCACCAAAGACAAAGTAAAGGATGGTCATGGCACAGTTGAACAACTGAGTTTTTTTTTTTACCTTGTGTATGACAGCAAACATCTGAAATCATAAATCTCTGACAAAGAACAAATGTTCAAACCATCTCCACCTCTCTGACTGCAACTCCAATCTGCTCCACCTTAACTGTCCCTCTGATCCTGTCCATCCTGGACACTCCAGATAGAAATCCGATCATCATCATCATCATCATCATCATCATCATCATCATCATCATCATCATCATCATCATCATCATCATCATCATCATCATCATCATCATCATCATCATCATCATCATCATCATCGCCTTCACCTCTGCACTTTCCATTACTTTGGATGGTTGATTCCAGGTGCTTGAAGTTAAAATATATTTTCATTTTCCACTGCTTTTTTAAGGGTGGCAGAAGAGCTGGCTCTCATTGGGTACAAAGGTGGACGACAGATTTGAACACCCTGTTCTGTCACTCATATTCACACCTTTAGTCCATTTCACTGGCTTCAATAACCTCATCCTCACCTTGCCTGATCTGGCCTGTAGGTGGAAGTCCACAGAGAAAACCCTCCCACACATGGGATACTGTCCATACAGAACGGCCATCTGGTAACCTTATTGCTGTGCAAGAACGCAACATACAACTTGACCTCAGCTCCACGGTCACTGAAGAAATACTTTCAGAAAAGAAAAAAAAGTGAAAAAAGCTTCAATAAATTAAGTCAAAATCAAGGTTAGATATGAAGTCACTCAGCGCCCTATAACGAGAACAGCAGTGTGTGTGTGAACGTGTGTAAGTACTTCTCTCTTCCGCTGCACTCGTCTACTGATTGGTTTGCCCTTACTGTCACAGTCCATTTGTAATTCCACCAACCCTGTACAAAGAACTTCTGTCATGGTGGTTTTCACACTAAATCTCTCCACGTTTAAATGCCGTGAAATAATCCTGAGGCGCAGCACGGCCTCATTTTCCTATTGAGTGTTGACTGAACACACTCTTATTAATTCATGTCATTTATGTGTTGACACTTACGTTTTTCCTTTCGTCTGCTGTGTGAGGATTCTCTGTCGTTATTCGCCTTGCAATTAATTTTAAAAGTTGCTCCACAGCGCTCACAAAGGAGGCTGGTTTAAGAGCACCTGGCTTTTATATAGTATGTGGTAAACACAGGGTATAGAGCAAGGTGGAGAGGAATCACTGCTGTTTACTGAGAAAGAGCAGCTAAAGTGCAGACTAATTATAGCATTCAGACAGTTGTGTTCATTTATAAGCCAAGCTTTTAGAAAAATTAGACAGGCTGCTGTTTTTTTTTTTGAAGTTTGCATCTTCCTACAAAACTGTTTACATCTGACACCTTTCTTTATTTGTACTCTCTCTCTCTTTCTCTCTCTCTCTCTCTGTGTGTGTGTGATGGTAGACAAACAAGACAGATGCTCACGAGACAGAATGTAACATTTTGTTGCCTGGACGACCGAGGGACAGACTTGGGAGTCATTCTCTCTCTCTCTCTGTGTGTGTGTGTTTAAACAACACCAATTGTCTGTTGGACAAAACTAAATGCCATGTGGACTCTGACCGACAGACTACCTACCAAACTAACACTACACTGACACAGACTTGTAGTCAGTATCACCGGGGCATTAGTTTCCCTTCAACCCTTAATTCAGCTGTATATTAAGAAATATCATCGACGTCCCAAATTCTAATGCAACGTTTTTGTTCTTCCTCTCTCGACCTCATCGCCCTCTGTGACATTCAGAACCGCTGATGTTTACAGTCATTTCCATACCAGGCTGCAGATAACCTTCAACAGGGGATAAATATGTACAATGTGAGCCAGCCCTGTGAAACAGAACGATGCACTTACCTAACATTTTAGGAACACAGAGTTCACTGACCTGGACCTGACTGCTTTTAGTTAAAATAAAAGAGAGAATATAATGATCTGTACTGTATGTATCTGGGTCACATACTCATATTGTGGGCAGAGCTGAAAAAAAGCCAACCTTCAGCATCAAATTGATCATCACTGATGATAACTATATTCAGTCCTAATGGCTAAAGGTCACCGGCTGCTCTGCAGGAAGCTAATAACCCCATACCGAGTGTGGGCCAGAATGAATCTCCATTGTAATGAAATGAACATGATCACACAATAGGACGTTGATTCACTCAGTGAACAGTCAAAAATGAGCGTCGAACACCCAAACCACACGGTCAAACTGTTTCAATTCAAACGGAGCCATAATTTAATGCAGCTGTTGATAAAAGGTGCACGTCATAATTTTTCACACTGTGTGTGTTTTGTAGATCTGGGGGTTTATCGGTTTGACAAGAACATAGTTTAGAAATTCAGAGGTGATAAGATAGACTTTACTGTAAGTCTTTTGTACTCCAGATGTAACACTTTTATTTACACAGATAAAAGGATGAGCCACACATAAAGAATAAATGGATGTGTTCACTACATTTCACAGATTTATTTTGTTATCTCCTGCTGCAAAAGAAAAAGTGAGGACACAGAGTTGACCTCGAACTTGCGTAAGATTACTGTAAGTGAAGGTATCTCAGATTATATTAATAATTTTAGCTCAAATTCTCACGTGACATTTTTTAATTTAAATGGATGCGATTGTAGGTAGTCACTAGATGGTGCTATTTACTTGAACTGCTTCATGTGAACCCATTGTCTGTGAAACTATGCAGGTCAAGTTATGATGATGAGTTTCTAATCAGCTTGACTTGTTTTTGGCCCAATCAAATGAGAGTACACAGGTTTCCTGAACACTTTTCCAAAGCAAACGATGGGAAATGTTTTTCAGGAAGTGTTGTCTCCGTTCTGAAATGAAAGACTCGCTTTGTCTCTTAATAGGATTTGAAAGTAATTTAAGTCAAGACAAATAGAATGAGTATTTTGAACTGGGGTTAAGGTAAAACCACAGGACCTACAAGAGCCCTCCTTGTAGCTCTGAAAATCCCTGATCCCTATCACAGAAACGAAACTCTCTCCAGTTCCGGATGAAAACACATTAGCCTCGCAGACAAAAAGAGGTGTCAATTGGTTTCAACTTGGGAGAAGGG